TTCCTTCCTTCCTTCCTTCCTTCCTTCCTTCCTTCCTTCCTTTCCATCATTTCATTTCCTTCCTTCCTTTTTCCTTCTGTGACGCTCCTGCTTTGAGTTAATTGTCAGTCGCAGGTGCGTCCTGTTACCTGATTACCTTCCAGGTCTGTTGGAGGCGCAGTCAGAGCGGTCTTAAGCAGCCGGCAGTGCAGGTGTGAGAGAAGCAGGGAGAAGGCAAGAGAAGCAGGCAGAAGCACGCCGAGGCACGGTTGTGGAGCAGAGTCAGCAGCTGAAGCGCAGCAGCTCGGTAGGCAGCGAGTTGGCGCAGCCGAARGAGCRGTGAGGAACCAAGTCGCGATTGCTGGTGTGAGGAAAGGCATCAGGTACGCTGGGATCCGAAGACGTCAAAGAACGGGACTCCAACGGAGGTGTGGAGCATGCTGGCTATCTTCATAAGGACCAAAGGGGCGTACGAGGATGGCTTGGTGGCGCAAAAAGGCTGGAACTGACTGAAGGTTGATGCATGGACTGAGACAAGAACGACAGCTTTCTTCTGGAAGGAGACGACTCCGAGAGGACGTTAAATGGTGGACAAGAAGGTGTACCGGGAGCACGATGGTGGACAGGACAGTGACCAGTSAGACCTTGATGTGGAGGCAGATCTGGTACCGGACCACACTCCTGAAGTGGTCCAGGTGGTGAGACAGACGCTCTGTGCATCCATTGTATGGAGCACTGAGAGCGACACCCACTCACAGCTTTGTACTCCTAGACACTTTAAATAAATGGCTTTCTAAAGGTTTAAACTGGCATCCTGTGTCGTGTTTCCAATTATGTTATGGCTCTCGAGCCGGGTCGTAACACCTTCCTTCCTTCCTTCACATATTTTGTGACTGATAAACTGAATGTTAGATGCAGTCTTGTATTTTATACTTTCTGATAATGCAGCCATAAGGTTCAAACAGAGAACGAGTGTGTGTGTCTGATCACATGAGGCCTTTCTGGCTGCATAAACAAAGTTTGTTACGTTCTAACTTCTGATGTAAAAGGTACCACCTCCAGGGGTGTGACCAGGAAGTCATGTTAAAAGGTTGATTCATCACGAGTTTTTCATTTTTTTTTAGTTATAGAGTTTGCAGTCTCTTAGAGCAGCTGCCGAGGAATTGTTATTGTTGCTGTCCTGATAAGGCAAGGCCACACTGAGGCCTGTGGGCTGTGTGTTTCCTGGGAGCTGATGGGAGTCAAAGGAGAATAAAGCCTTTTTAGAAGAGAATCAGCTGGCTTTATGCTGTTTATTCAGACTTTTTTTTATTGAGCATAGATTTCCTTACACTTCCTTCCTTCCTTCCTTCCAGTCTATGGTTAGCTTGTTAAAAAAACAATCTTTCACTACATAATGATTTTTCAATCTAACACTGAAAACTTATTGTTACTAGGAGAAATTTTTGTATTACGAAGCTGTAATAATAATACAGGGTGAGTCAAAAGTCACAGGACACCTGTTTATTTCAGAAATGAATAAAAAAGTAAAATATCTGAATACCCCAGCGGGTAATGGGCGAGGGGGCCAATCTATTAGGTTATGTCTGCAACAGGGCCGCCATTTTGAAAACCACCATATTGAATAAGTCATTTTTTTCCCCCAATGGTAAGGGGACCATTAAGGACGTCTAAGACCAGGACTTTCTCAGAAATCGATTGCCACAATCAGATTTGCAATGCTGCTTGAAAGGTTGTCAGCACAGAAAATTGCAACAACWACTGGGATTGTTGTCTGTGATTGGACAAGTTCAATATGTTCACCCTGTAGAACCTTGTATAGTTGTTTAGTTTTGTGTGTTTTTATTTGTCAAAGATTCATTTTGAATAATAAAACGTGACTGAAAGAGAAACAGCTCACCTGCAGAGCGGCTGCTCTGTCCTTCTTCTTGGATTTTCTCTCTCTCTCTTTTCTCTTGCGGAACTTCTTGAAGTAATCTTGAATCAAGAAGCTGGCATAAAACTTTCCGCACGTCACCTCATCCCCTGAGGGAAAACAATAGTGCAATAAACAGAATAAGACCAAAAAAATTCCTGCCTTACACATACTTTTTAAAATAATAAGATATTGCGATGAAATTACATTATTTTCAGGCACAGAGATTTAAACTCCATCAAATAATTGTTAGTCTTTGCTCTTGTAGTTTTTGTTTATTACCTCTAGGGGGTGGAATAATCTCATCAATGAGTTTAGGTTTGGTGTGCTTCCACAGCTTCTTAATTATAATCTTCAGCTCTTCATTCTGCTGATCAACAGGACCTGAGTGGGTCACCAACAACACATCTTTTTAAAATAAATATATTTAGGTTCTGTAAAGTACGCTGAGTCTTTAAAAGATTTTTTCTGTACATGTTTGAGAGTTCTGACCTTCAGTCTTGATCTTAAGTGAGGTTCGAACAAGAGCAAACAGAGTGGCGTTGAAAGTGACCGTCCCGTCAGGGTGCAGGGGGACGTTCATGGCCACCAGCCTCTGAGAAGATGAGATAAGGCAGGAAATCTGTTTATTCCTGTCATAAAACATTATCGATATCACAGAATGTGTTCACTCACTCTGCAAGCAACTCGATGWGGACAAAGCTTTCCAAAACCAAGAGGCGGCTGAATCCTGCGTAACATGGTGACGACGTCGATATGCTTAATGCGACCGCTGCAGACGAAAACACCAGGCCAACAAGTTTATTTAGGTGCCGGCATAGGTCAACACCCACTTACAGAGATGAGTCTTACGTGGCTTCTGGATCGTAGTCGGACCAAACCCTCTTAAACTCGTCCAGGTGGTGAGTGCCGAGCACGGTCCAGTCTCGTGTAAGATATTCAAAGTTGTCCATGATGACAGCAATGAACAGATTGATAATCTGAGAGAAAAGAAAAGAAGAGAAATGTTAGAATTGACTTTACCAGCACACAGAATCACTTGAACTTGTACATACAGGGCCTTGCGAAAGTATTCTGCGCCCTTGAACTTTTCAACCTTTTGCCACATTTCAGGCTTCAAACATAAAGATATAAAATAAAAAAAAATTGTGAAGAATCAACAACAAGTGGGACACACTCGTGAAGCGGAATGAAATTTATTGTCTATTTTAAACTTTTTTAACAATTAATAAAATGAAAATTGGGGCATGCAAAATTATTCGGCCCCTTTACTTTCAGTGCAGCAAACTCACTCCAGAAGTTCAGTGAAGATCTCTGAATGATCCAATGCTGTCCTAAATGACAGAAGATAAATAGAATACACCTGAGTGTAATCAAGTCTCTGTATAAATGCACCTGCTCTGTGATCATCTCAGGGTTCTGTTTAAAGCACAGAGAGCATCATGAAGACCAAGGAACACACCAGGCACATCTGAGATACTGTTGTGTGAAGTTTAAAGCTGGGTTTGGATCAAAAAGATTTACCAAGCTTTAAACATCTCAAGGAGCACGGTGCAAGCCATCATATTGAAATGAAAGGAGTATCAGACCACTGCAAATCTACCTGGACCCGGCCGTCCCTCCAAACATTCATCTGGAACAAGGAGAAGACTGATCAGAGATGCAGGCAAGAGGCCCATGATCACTCTGGATGAAATGCAGAGATATACAACTGAGGTGGGAGAGTCTGTCCATAGGACAACAATCAGTCATACACTGCACAAATCTGGCCTTTATGGAAGAGTGGCAAGAAGAAAGCCATTTCTCAAAGAAATCCATAAAAGGTCTCGTTTAAAGTTTGTCACAAGCCACCTGGGAGACACACCAAACATGTGGAAGAACATGCTCTGGTCAGATGAAACCAAAATCAAACTTTTTGGCCACAATGCAAAACGATATGTTTGGCATAAAAGCAACACAGCTCATCACCCTGAACCCACTGGTGGTAGCATCATGGTTTGAGCCTGCATTTCTTCAGCAGGGACAGTGAAGATGGTTAAAACTGATGGGAAGATGGATGGAGCCGAAACAGGATCGTTCTGGAAGAAAACCTGTTGGARTCTGTAAAAGACCTGAGACTGGGACGGAGATTTAYCTCCCAACAAGACAATGATCCAAAACAAAAAGAAAAATCTACAATGGAGTGGTTCACAACTAAATGTATCCAGGTGTTAGAATGGACAAGTCCAAGTCCAGACCTGAATCCAATCAAGAATCTGTAGAAAGAGCTGAAAACTGCTGTTCACAAACACTCTCCATCCAACCTCACTGAGCTCCAGCTGTGTTGCGAGGAAGAATGGGCAAGAATTTCAATCTCTCCATGTGCAAAACTGATAGAGACATACCCCAAGTGACTTGCAGCTGTAATCGCAGCAAAAGGTGGAGCTACAAAGTTTTAACTATTAATTATTAGTATTAATTATTATTTTTTTAATGAGTTTATGTAAAGCTGCAGGTTGTGTAGCAAACTGAAAATCAACCAAAGTAACAGCTAAATGGTAAGAAGGATGCTTTAAATCTCAAACTTTGGCAATATTACTAACTAAATCACTGAACACATTTTAAGATAAATTATTACAAGCAAAATGGCAAATGTGAAAAAGTTCTCTAAACGAGAAATAACTCAGAGAATTTATAGCAGCAGTGTGTCTAGGTGCATTAGTCATTGGGACCACTTTTAGACAAAGAGTGATTACAGGCACAACATGATCCCTCTTTGTTTCAGAGGGCCTACAAAGACCACATAGAGAGTGATGGATCACAGGAGAAGAAACCACTTAAGAAATTCAGGCCACACATGAATGAATAACTGAACATGAACTTGATTTTKTTATAAAACTTATTTCATGAAGCAAGAAAACAGCTCAGACTGATAGAAAGACAGAAATAATAAAACACTGAACCACCTGAACAGCATCCTGTTCAGTGTTGGAAGAATGAATGGAATCAAGTTCATTTATCATACACACAGATAGATTTAATAAATATATATGTAATATTTTAATACACATATTCTTCCTGAATCATCCTGTTTTTTTAAAGGTAACAGAATTTATAATGTGTTTAAAGTAATCTGATCCAGGTTATACTGGGATAAAATTGGCTGCATTTTGGATCTTTTATCATCCCCACTGTATAGGACAGTTCTCTCAACAAAGTCACCTTTATTTGACCCATTTACTGTCTTTAAATAGCACCAGGACAGTAGTACTGCTGCCAAAACATGAGCACAGCTTTTAGTGATGCAGGTGAGCACCATGGATTTAATTAATCCATGGATGAAGAGGTTAACAAACATCTGGAAGTCAGAGAATGCTGACGCATGGTTTTTGGAGTAAAACTGTCATCTCTGCTTTCATAAGAATTWGAGTCTTCTCGACCTGACTGCCAGAAAATCATGAGTTTGAATTAATTCCACCTAAATTTAGAGGCCTTAATCTGAAGTGTGACATACCTGCTGGCTTCACTTACCAGATAAGCACAGAGCATAAAGAAGCTGATGAAGTAAATGTAGGCCAGATTGCTTCCGCAGGTGAACTCTTCGCCAGGCTCGATTTCAGACTCAGGGTCACAGCGTCTGCCGGGCAGGGCGGCCAACATGATCTCCTGCCACTGCTCTCCGGTGGCACACCTACAGTCAAACAGACAGGCCGGGGCTTTTAGCTACACCTGTACAGTCTGAAACAAAGCCTCTGAATGGTGATCTCCACTCATGACGTCACGCGTGACATTTACATACATCTGCTGCTCTCTCACATGACTGGACGAGTCACATGGATTACACAGAGATTCGATGCTAATATCATCACAGAAAATAGATGTTCCCAGACTGAATTTCAACACATCCGAGTTCAGGAATCACAGGAAAGTTCAGATGAAGCATTGGATGGAGGGTCGAGGTCTTTGACAGACTTGGAAAGTGAGAAGAATTGTTAAAAAGGTTGGTGTTTTTACTGCTGTCTTATAGTTTAGCTTGCTGCATTTATTGTGTGTTAGGACCGCTAGGACAGCTGTAGAACACTGGCAATCTTGTGTTTGAACAATGACATGCCCTGTGCAAGGAGGGAGCAGCACGTGCATAAACGTGATTGACACTGGTAAGACAAGCCTCCTGTCTTTTATTGGCTATTTCTGACCGGGAGCTGTGTATTTCTGCAAATGGCTGTAGGACCACTGGGAAGAGCCAGAGGAGCTTTTATTTTTTCACAGATTATCTGTCTCATTTTCTACTGTCAGGACGTAGAGGCAATATTAACAAATATGAAATATATTTTAATAAAAAATTGTGTAAATAGCAATATTATCACTGTATTTGTGACCGACTGCAGTAAAACAATTTGTGAGGCTAGCATGAATGCTACATAAGTAAAGCTACCAGTACTGTAAAAGCAATATATGATTTACTGTACCTGTTTGAGGACTGAAAGTACAGGGATAGGATCAGGGTGGTTCTGTGTTGGTCTTTTACCAACGATAAAATTTTTGGAGCAGACACTAAGTCCATGGTTACACTTTTTCCAGTCACATTCAGCCCATCCCATCAATCAAATCCAGCTGTTAGCTAGCATCTTAGCTAGGAAAATGGCTAATGTTTGTGGCTAATGACCACAAATGTTTTGTGGTCCTGGTGGGATTTGATGCTGTTTTACCAAATGTTTAAAAACAGCTAAACTGCAGATTGTGATTAAAATCAACAGAGCCGCTACCAGAGTTTGTTCACACAGGGGTGCTGATTGGATGTAGTGACATGACCTGTGATATCACTTGATTTACAATTGGTGTTAAAAAGCAAAAAAAGCTCTGATTAACTGAAAACAAAGTGCTTAAAATGCTGTTGACTTTGATAAATCTTTTTCTCTTGTTGAACTGTCACCTGAAAAGGACCAGAACGGCCATGAAGAAAGTCTGGAAGTTGCAGTTTCTGTTGATCTCTGTGTCATCATCGACGGCTATTTTCCCAAACATCTAAAAGAAAAACAGAAAAAAATATGTCAGTTTGTTAAACCGTCTTGTTTTAATGATACAGTTCTGTTTTTATTCATTAGCTTATCAACAGTTATTGTTTAAAGGCCTTGCATTTATTGAAGGACTGCAAATTACCTACCACCTTTCGCGCCAAAGTTTTAGACTAAAACTATTATATTTTGAAAAATGGTGATGTAGTTAGTTTGGTCAAACACTGAAAATAACGTTACACACAGGCTCATGTAATTTTCCGTGAAGTCACACTCAGAGTACTCCATGTGTTTTSAATGATTCCCAATTATTACCTCATCAAAGTTTTATCTCAGTGTTAAACTGGCAGAATTACGGTCATTCTTGTGTTTCTAGGGTCAGTTGGCTGTGGTGGCCATCTTGAACTGGGTTGGCTCCAAAGATTAATCAGTTATAGGTGGACACCTGATGGTTACTTAACGAAGGTTTATTTAAAATCAGTCCAGTGAATGGGTTTAGTACAGACACACACATAAACATTTAAAACATCCACTCTTACTGAAATTTACCTGCATGCCAATCACAGCATAGATGAAGAAAATCATGGCGATAAGGAGGCCAACGTAAGGTAAAGCCTACGAAGATCAAAAATAAGAAAGTGAAAAATAAGAAAACCGTCCATAGTCAGAACTTTGATGAGTGACCTCACTGACCTGCAAGGACTTAACAAAAGTCCAGAGAAGAGTTCGAATGCCTTCTCCTTTGCTGAGCAGTTTAACCAACCTCAGCACACGAAATAAACGGAAGAAGGTGATGGACACTTTTCCATGTTCTCCTTTCCCACCACCACCCTACAGAGAAAAGGCAGCATGTTCAGCAGCAGAATTTAAAACACATTAAAATGCATCTTAGTTCTGAAACAATCTTATGTCTCACCTCTCCATGACCGCCTCCTCCCTGGATGAAAC